GTGTGTGTGTTTGTGTTTATTTGTGTGTGTATGTGTGTGTATGTGTGTGTGTGTGTATGTGTGTGTGTGTATGTGTGTGTGTATGTGTGTGTATGTGTGTGTGTTTGTGTTTATTTGTGTGTGTATGTGTGTGTGTGTGTGTGTGTGTGTGTGTGAGAGAGAGAGAGAGAGAGAGAGTATTTCTGTGTGTGCTTAAGACTGTCTCCAGTGTGCCCTGAAAGGCAGGGGCAAAGCCTGCCTCCTACATGATCTAAATTGTGTCTGTGGGGGCGTAATAACATATGTGAGGCAGCGTGGTGGAATCAGGCTCCCGTCAGTTTTTGGTCATGTAGAGTTATTGATATCATCTTATAGCTTGTTCACTTGTCTTTATTTGTATGAAAAAAATATCCATTTATCTTGAATACAAGTCGAGATATTTGCGAATGAATGAGGTGGGGTTATCTGTTTTCAGAGGTAAAATTAGTGAGAAAATGGCCTCCAAAGATTAGTTATTTCCTTAGCTTAACAGTCCATGGTAACTGAAAATTAACCTTTTTGTGCCTTTAATCAACGTTTTTTTAATAAAAATCCACACAGAAATTAGTTCTTTAATGGGCATGAAAGGTGTTGAGCCAAAAAATTAAAATTTGATAAAAATTCACAAACCTTTGGAAAAATGCAAGTTTCGTCACTTTGATTATTTTGACGAGAGCCTGATTCCACCACGCTGCCTCACATATCTACATTTTGTTAATACTTACGAGAGAGGTTTGCCTGCAATGCCATTAGATTAAGATTTGTCTTTCCTGACAGCTGCTCCACTGCCGATAGTCGTTTGACAAGATCATCGACCTTCACTTTCACTACCAAGTTATCATCGATCATCTTATTCGTCGTATTGCTCAAATAATCCACGCTGAGCTGTAGAAACAGCTGGTTCTTCCTCAGGTCCTGGATATCCTTATTCGATACTACGGTACTCGATACTGTAGTCGAGGGGTTGCTCAATACTGTAGTCGGCGGGCTGATCGGTGCCGAACAAGTATTCGAACATGCGGAGATGTTTTTCTTCAGGTCTTCGAGGAGATGCTCGAGGTCGGAATCGGATTGGTTGTTTTTGTCTTTTTCTTGCTGTAGATTTATCTCGAGCTTGTCGAGGCGGGAGGTAAGGAGGTTGTTCGTCTGCTTCAAGAGCTTGTTCTCCTCCAGTATGTCGGTCACGTGACTGGTCAGTTTGGAGATGATGTCGGTCATTTCCTCAAAGGTGATTTCTGAGGAGGAAGGAAAGGGATTTGTAAAACGATGGAGCGGGGAGGGGGGGCGAAGAAAGAATAGGGGGGAGGGGGTATTTTCGGGAGGGGGAAGGGAGGAAGAAACAATGAAAGAGAGTGGGGTTCGGGGAGAGAGAGAGAGAGAGAGAGAGAGAGAGAGACAGACAGACAGTCAGACAGACAGAGAATGAAAGAGAGAGAGAGAGAATGAAAGAGAGAGAGGGAGGTTGGTTTTGGGAGGGTGAGGGAGAGAATTATAGAAAAAAGGGAGGGTACAACATTAGAACAGGATTGTTTTTTTGTTTTCGTAAGTGTTTTTACGGCGCTCGCAAATGCATAAGGTCATATGAGCGCGCGGGACTCATTAAACTTTTTCAGTTGGTAGGAATTTTTGAATTTCGCCCGGATGGCGGCTGAAGCCTACTCTTTAGACAGGATAAAATTTTGTTTCCAACTGCGACAAATCATCATTGTAAAGTGCCAGATCTGAAAATACATTGGCCATTAATTGTTTCATGGCCCTGGTGTTCTCAAAATACTTATAACATTATTATCCCGATCTTTCATTTATCTTTTCAGGTTTTCCCAGTAAGTTGTTCTGTGTCTATTACCTGCCTCGTTTGCCTTCTCTTTTTTCCACAGAGAGCAGAATCTATTATTCCGTCTAGCGTATACACACTTTCTATGTGTTTGAACCTTTCTACTTGTTTGGTTATCAACTTTCAGTGTATGTTTTTTGTGGTTGAGGTGGGGATGGGAGTTAAAAGGGGCATTCTTCTTCTTCTTCTTCTTCTTCTTCTTCTTCTTCTTCTTCTTCTTCTTCTTCCTACATCCCCGAAAATACAACAGTAGGTTGACGAAGAGGCTATGCCACTGGAGTTCAGGCTTTGAACCATAGTAAGAGACTTACCGGGACAATGTAGTGAGAAAGTAATGGAGTGATATTATGAGATAATCAGTTGAAAAGGTAACTGGTATATTATAGAGTAAAATTAACTGTATCATTGCCCTAACATAATATATCTACTTGAGAAAGTGACTGTGGAATAATTGTGAGAAAGTAATTGTGGTGTTATGATAAGAAGTAACTGGTCCTCTAGTGAGAAAGTAACTGTGATATTATAGTTAGAAAGTAATAGAGGTGTTATAGTGGGAAAGTAACTTTGGTATTATAGTGAGAATGTAACTATAGTAATACAGTAAAAAAAATATATAGCTGTGAAAATAGTGAGAAAGTAACTATAGTATTACAGTAAGAAAGTAACTAAGGTATTATAGTGAGAAAGTAACGGAGGTATTATAGTGAGAAAGTAACTGAGGTATTATAGTGAGAAAGTAACTGAGGTATTATAGTGAGAATGTAACTATAGTAATACAGTTTAAAAAATAGCTGTGAAAATAGTGAAAAAGTAACTATAGTATTACAATAAGAAAGTAACTGAGGTATTATAGTGAGAAAGTAACTGTGGTATTGTAATTAGATACTCACTTGTGAAAGTAACAGTGATAATGCAATAAGATACTAACTTGATAAAGTAGCGATGACGTTGTAGTAAGATACTTGAGGAAGTAACCGTGATATTGTGATAAAATACTCACTTGAGAAAGTAACCGTGACATTGTGATAAAATACTCACTTGAGAAAGTAACCGTGACATTGTGATAAAATACTCACTTGAGAAAGTAACCGTGACATTGTGATAAGATACTCACTTGAGAAAGTAACGGTGATATTATACTCCAGCTTGACGAGTTTCCCAAACATGTCCATCACCGATACGGCACATATATAGTTCCCGCTGTCCTGTGGGGGAGATACAGTTTCTGAGGTAGAGGAGGCAGGGAGGTAAAGAAAA